AGTTTCAAACGACAAGAAACAGGCGTAATTGAATCGTTTAGATCAAAGACTACCACTTGAATATGCAAAATAAAAGCTCCAGTACTTGAGAATAATCGTTCTTTAATTGGAAACTACGTAATTAAAAACTAACTGTTCTGAATGAACATTAAAAAAAGTGAATTTGTCAAGATATACATAGAAGGTGCAATATTACAAGGTGTACTTTTCAAGAATTCTAAATAGACAATTCTGCAGTCCGGAAATCGCAGACGCTAGCTCCAATGGGTTATTTTCACACATTGTGCCAATTTCATCGTCTTTCTGAAGATGTAGAGAAAGGCTCTTTCTAACGAAGTTGGAAATAACGAAATGTCCATTTACCTACATAGGACTAAAACATCTTTTAACTGCTCTCCTGTAAACTTAGGGAAAATGCGGCACTGTGCCCTACGAGCTACATAATTATTTCTCAACCAACAGCAAAAAAGAATCCTTGAACAAGTATTGTCACAATAGATAGGAAAAACAGAACCACAAAGTCCACACATTCTCGGCGGAACGCGACAATCGTGCTACGTCCGACCCGCGGGAAACCTACCAATTGATCGACATTCGCTGAGATGCAAACACGCGACCGGCGAGGCCGACAAGCAAAATAAGCGCGCGGACAGAAGCGTCTTGTCTGCGGCCTGTCCCCCTCGGCGCGCGCCGTTCGACCAGCGTGATGGACGTGCCCGTCGCTACCGCCTCCACAGCTGCGAGCGGACGCGAACTCTTAAGGAAGGAAAGCAAACGCGCCGATTTTCGATTAATGCGCGATGTTGCTGTTTGGGCAGACATACATAGTACGTGTTGCGTTTCACAGATGAATGCCTTGGGGTCTTGTAAGGGGAATAGCAATATTTCGCTTCCTTCTATTTTCTACACTGCTTGCAAGTCTGGGAAATGGACATTTAAAATATTTGATATTTATGCCATAAAACCAATTTTCGTTTTCTTTAACTTTTCTTACACAAAAAAATAAATTGAGATTACGCGTTTTTGGATGCTAAGACTACAGAATGGCATATTCAAAGTTTTCGTTTCACATTTCCTGAATCATGCATCGAGCAGATTCCCGAGGAATGCACGCAAGTTCAATCCTGAAACATTTCAAAGGCCCACCCCCTCACTGATGTTTTATTGGTGATTCTAAGCGGGTACACGGCTAACGACATTCGTCCCGTAAGTGTAGTGCACGTTCTTTCTTCGGGAGGTGGCGGTGATCTTCCCACGATAAATGGAGAGATCTGGCGCCGATCTAACGCCGGCTAGGGGGTTTTCCCCAACAAGATATCTCCCACCACCGGAGCACCGCCCCAGCCGGGACAAGCTGTAAGCTCCCAATCGGTCTCCCGAGATGTGTGGTAGTATAGTGCATGTTAGTGGAACTGTAAGGAAGGATATGAGGATAGGACAAAGAAGAGAAAGAAAAGATCGTGCGCAGTCCGTGTCCAGTGATAAGGTACTGCTCCGCATTCGCCTGGTGTTGGTCGGGGAAGCCATGGAAAACTGCCGATCAAAGCCCGCTGCTAGAATTCTCTCCCAGTCAGCAACTAAACTCGAACTATCTAACTAGTGTCAAAAAACCTGCCACCAGAACTCGAAACCAGGACCTCCCAGTTAGAAGCACTGCAGTGACATCAGCTGATACTCTGAGCCACCTCTACCAGTTGCCTCCTCGCCCGAAGCAGATGCGCAGCTAGGGTCCAACATGAAATTTGTTGATACTCACGTCGTTTGAAAATTGTAAATATAAAATTATCTATTTTATTAACACTAAACAACACAGCAAACAAGTGAAAACGAATTTTTTAACATTTAGAATACGTCCAAATTTCGTAACCCGGTAATACTAGGGATAATGATACTTCAAAATAGTTTCCGTGAGTTTCAACTTGAATGTTCTTATGTCAAACGCTTAGTGCCCCAGTTCATGCTGAAAAAAAAATCTCAGGCTACGTCCCTACGCTGAGTTCATCTCCACACACATTCATCAAGGATGGAAACTTTTGGACAGCTGGCAGTTTTCGACAGTGGCGGTTAGCGAAAATCCTCGGCAGGCGCACCCGCCTTCGTCGTCGCCGACCTCCTCCCTGCCAGCGCGTTCACGTTGCCTTCTCCGCGCCAACACCATTCCGCCTCCACCGCCGCCCGAGCCCGCGTAGGCCGCGGGGCCGCAATCGCCAATATCGAGAACGGAGCGGGCCAAAAGCGCGCCTATCTGCGCGGGACAGGGACTAACCTCGCGGCAAACCGCTCTCCGCTCCCCTCTCCCCCCAGCCCGCCAATCGACTTTTTTCCACGCGTGCGCGGAGGAGTCTGCTCTCGACTTCATTAATATTTGTGGCGGAGCGAGGGGCCGCGAGCGCCAGGGCGCGCGGAGCTGAAGGGGAGTGGGTGCGGGCGGGGTGGGGGTGGGGGTGAGGGGGACAGAACGCAGCGGACGAGTGGGCGCCGAGGAGCGGAGTTCATTTCTCGCGATGATTGCGACCCCGCAGCCAATTTAGCGCGGCGAGTCCTTCCGCCCCCGCGGGTTGCGTCGCTTTCTCCCGTCAGACCCTTTCCCGTTCCCCTCCCCTCGCTTCCGAAGAAACAATGCCGGTGAGCGGCTCTCGAGGAAAACAATCACTTCTGCACTACTTCAGCCGCTAGTAACAAGACTGACTTAAGCTGACAAACGGAATATTGGACCGGCAAGAGGTCCAATGTGGTGTCGAGATGAGCGTCACAATTTTTTGGAATACAGCTGCCAAGCTGTATGTGATCACTCCATTAAATTCACGTTCCACCCTTCACTTACAGCTGCAGCAGTTCATGACTGAAACCACCCTATTCCTAAATATGAATAAATACTTAGGTATCACCTCGAAAAAACTCTTGTCAATCGCGTGATATCTAGGAAATAAATAAACAACCGGCAACCGAGGTGCCAATCATCAGGTTCGTAGGTATGAGAAGAATTAACCTCGTCATGTATAAGGAAAATCTCTCTGAAAACATCTATTTTCGCATCTTTCTAAAAAGGTTTGTGAAGAACAGAATAAATTCTCGAGATTGAGAGTTGTGTTGCTACAATATAAGAAAAAGTAAAAAAAAATCTCGAAATTGATTTTCCGCAGCAGTACTTCACTTTTTCCATAATTTCTGTAATTACTCCGTACGTACACGAGAGAGTAAAAACAAAGAGCTCTAATTAAAGGGAAAAAAGGTATTCTGATAAATTTCATTATTGCATCTTTGCAGAAGAAATCCCAACTAAATATTTTTTTATAGATTTAAAATTTAATTACTTATGCGATTATTAATTTCCCTTCGCAACATTTCAATGACGAAGGTACCTTATCTTTCTTGTCGCTATTTTGGAGATCAATCCATCAGTCCTCCCTCGATGTTTCCTGATCGAAGCTTCCTCGTTTTTCTTAGTTTCTTTGTCTCTGGATATTCTCAGAAGGGTATAGAGACTTCCAAATCACCAAAACTTGGAAACTTCGACTGTCGTCTTCTTTTCACAGCGATACTTACGGTTCGATAAAGTACTACACAAGTTTGCGGAGGAAACTTATGAATAAAATGCCAGTTTCGAAGAGAACCTGAGGTTTTGTGCCTGCGGGAACGCCCGGCGCTGAAATTCCACCCCCAACGACTCGACGAAGCTGGGATTTCGAAGACGGAATATTCTCAGGAGGGATTAAGGGGATTTATCGCAACTGAATGCAGCGGGGCGCACCTGGTCTCTCTTTTCTCGGAAACGAACCTACGTACCTGTGCAGTCGAGCACGTGGACTTCGCTCTTTTGCACATATAGAAACACATGAAGGAATATTGAAGACCAGTAATCGTATAAACATGATGTCTGAGACTTTAAATTTGTGAAGGAAAATGCTAGTACGTATGTTATTCTTCATTCTCGAAAGAATCCTACGTATGTTTTAGATAGAGTGACATATAACTCATTACATCCATCATCCGAAGATCTGATTTACATTTTGGTCTCCTGAACTGAAGATTCAGGACTCTATCCACACTCTATTACTGCTAGATATCCATAAATGGTAAAATTCGAAACTAAAAAAAATAGAAATGCCCCATGATTGCTATAAACTATTTAGGAAAAAGATTCATGCATGTTGAAGAGTATTACTGAAACCCCATACTCGTATTATTACATATATCGCACGAAGATCTTACGCGAGAAAAAAAGAACCACGCTTTCATACTACTTTTTGAACGCAATATTGAAGTAGATTTCGATAATCTTTTGCAATAATTTCACACTGAGATTTAAAAGGGCCTTAAAACGTAAAGAGCACAGTATTCCTCCAAGTATAAACGCACAAAATTGGAGCAATTATTTTCTTTCAACATTTCTGCAATCTCCCAGTAGAGGAGAGTACGTGCTTGGGAGAATGACACGCATACCAAGACGAGCTTGTTTTCTGGGTGCGCGAGAGGCACCTGCGGCAGAGAGGTGGGGGCGGGGCGGGGCGCGGCGGGGGCGGAGGGGCGTGGCGAGAAGGCGCGTTATCGCGCTACAATGGCCTCTGATGAAGTGAGCGTTGCGAGAATGTCTGCTGATTGGGCGCCGGGGTCTGTTAACTTCCTCCTCGGGGCCGCTGCCCGCTTAACGACGTTAGCCAGCAGGGTGCTACTGGCGGAGCAGCGTGGGAGCACCCCGTCCCGCCCACTCTGCCACTCCTGCCCTCGTCGTCCTGCTCCGTCTCCAGTCCGCCCCGCTCCTTCTCTCCTCACCCCGCTCTTCCACTCATCTCGCCCCCGCACATCCCGCTCCGCTCCACTCCTCCCCGCCTCCTTCTTCCTCCCGGACCGACCGGCTTCTCCCATCCTCACCCCTACCCCAACCCTGAGCCTCTTATCCCTCCCCTCCATCCCGCCTCACGGCGCCACTTCCTCTCGTCTCGCACCGCCCCGCCCTTCTCGTCGCTTCCCAGACCGGCGATACTCTAGCGCCGCAGGCGTCAGTCGGAGACGCGAGTGAGGAAATGGGATTGGAGTCTGGCATCGGGGCGACGAGGGTGGCGCGACGAGCCCAATTGGTAGCGCTCGGAAAATCTCAGTACGGACTTCGAAGTACTCAAGCAAGCTACAAGGACCTGCGGAATAGCATTCAAACGCGACGCACTGAATATAAATTACAAACTTAAACGTAATTTTGAACGTGCTTTTATTGAAAAACTCTTACGGCTCTGAACTGCGTTTCCAACAAGGCTGCCCCAAAAAGTGATATTAATATGTCTATTAGGAATCGATACATTAATCACGCATTTATAAAAATTAATGAAAAATAATGTTAAATGCAAAATACTATTTTTCAATCGAAAACAGCAGTTATTATATAATTAATAATAAGAAAATTTATTTGAGATACTTTACCAGATTGTAAATGAATATTTATAATTCGACCAGAAAAAAGGATTTCGAAGTGGTTTCTTACACTTCTTTGGACAGAGCGTGGAGACTTTGTAAGAGCGTGGAACTTGCTTTCTATTCCATTTTCACAAATGAAAATTTATTATTCCCAAATTCATGTTTTAAAAACACTAGCAATATGTTAATTGAAAGGGCCAGTCGAAAAAAAAGTGTTCAAATACAATTTTGAATACGTTTTATTTTCTCAAAGTACCGATATAGTGTCCATGATTTGAGCATTAACAAGCTAGGCGTAGAATCTTCTACACGTTCAAATGCGGCTGTAGTGGAAATATGGCGGTATCATTGCTTATATGCACTTAAGAAGCGCTGCATATTTTCATTGTTTTGTTAAAATGAAATCCATCGAAATTCATATGAGAAAGAAATAAAAAAGATTATGTACGTCTTTCTACAATATCAATGCAACATAACATTCCGAAATTCCGAAAAGGTGAGCTATTGGTAACAGACACTCCTCGACCACTCCAAACCAAACACAGGAGGTGAAACATGCGATGCACGAGTGGCTGCAGTCAGTAACAAAAGCGTTTTTTCAGAGGCAACTATCCATGCACTTCCAAAGTGGTGCAATTACTATATGCATTACATGTCGGAGAACGTTTATAGAAAATTAGTATTCTTGTACACATCTATTGTTCAATAAATTTAAAAAAAATACTAGCACTGCATAATACCTTTCCTCGTTCGAACAGACTGCGAGAAAAAGCTTTCTGATGACGTTCTATTTCACGCACTCGCAAGGCAGATGACAGAAATAGCCTTTATTATGATCTCGGTACACAAAGTGACAAGTCTCAACTATCCTGTGATGGATCGCGACAGCCTAAACAAGTATAAACAGCACAAGACAATGTTCGGGAGGGCGACGTCGGAATGATGGGAACGTGCTTTCAGAAGAGATAAACAAGGAAAATTGAGTGTGTATTTAAGTAAGTGAATATTTAGTTTTGGGGCAAGGTATGGACTGATTTAGATCCATAAGTTTATTTTTCCCATTTTTATATTTATTACCAGCATCATCCTCGGACGATTTAAGTTGTTTTTCAAAACAAGTTATGTAACGTTTTGTTTGCAACTGTAGAATGATCTGACCAGGGCTCGATGCGAGGCATGTGTAAAACCTGGCCAGGTGTGTACAAAGCCTTAGCGATGACGGCTAAATCGACATCTGGGATTTAGAAATAAAACAAAAAAAACTTTATATGTTATAAATGTTTATATGTTTCATTTAGGATGTCTCAGTCTATTGAAGAAATAACATTTGCAAATTAGTGCAATTGCTGCAAAAATGAGTCGACCAGAAATGTGGTTACATATAAGTAACAAGGGACAGTAGAGGGTTAACACTCTTAAAACCTTGTTTTCGGTTTAAGGTTTGTGCCCCTTCTCCAACGAAGCCCCAGTTAGGTTTGTTATGAGTAATCTAAGAAACGAAGTGCTTTGAATCTTATATTGCAGTGTTAGACGCTTAGCTATTCTTTGTATGCCATCTCTGTATGTGCAGAATCTCGAAAAAATACCGATACTCCATGCAATTCAGTCGCAAGTCCTTTTGTTTGTTAATAAAGGCTTCCTATTCGTACAAAATGCGTCAAGTTCGCACGGGTTCAACTAGTGGGACACAATCTCAATATAATTTACTGATGTAGGAGTTGCAAACCAATTTATTGTATTCTAATAAAATATGTTTTATCCGGACTTTCTGAATGGATGCATTTAATGAACAATCCAAGCCAACCATCTGTTCATGAGGAAAAGAGTTAAAAGATTATTGTGCGTCGGCAAATCTGTACATGCACCGGCTCTTCATCTGTTATGTCTATTGTGTTCATAAAATAACAAAATGTAATTCTGAATTAAGGGCTTACGAAAGGCGTATGATTAAGATATATGGAAATATGGCCCTATAACAAGTAAGAATGAAAGTAAAAATCAACTGAGTAGATTCGTGTAATCCAATGACAATTTATAGATCCTTACCCTGAGTATAAATAATATATTAATGAATTAAAATACGTAGAAAATATGCCAAATAAACACAATGAAGAAACCTCCAGGAAGTAATTTATTTGGCTAATTCGGTATGCGTGATACCGACAATTACAAAAAAATCTCTATTTTGACCTGATGTTCCCAAGAGCGGTCATAGGACGACAATAAAGCGCCCATTCTGGTCGTGCGAAGGAAAACAGAGAAGGGCGTGGTTAAGCAGTACAGAGGAAGTGGCAGGCGGCTGTTGACGAGGCCAATGAACTGACGCGAGCTAATGTGCGTGCTGAGGACAAGGTTGGGGGCGGAAGCGAGGGCATGGGTGAGCGGGGACGAGGGTGGCTGGAGATTAGGGAGAGGGCTTAGGGAGGATGGGGACAGGGCAGGAGAGGTCGAGACGAGGTGAAGACTAGAGGATGCATTCTTGGCTATCCGGGATGAGCCGCGTCTCGGTCAATTGTGCTGACGTTTCGGCCATCTGCTGTGGCATTTTTCAGAGCTATACTGCTGCTCATCCCGGATAGCCAAGAATGCACTGACTCCGGCCGCGGAAGCCTACGAACCCAAGACTAGAGGATGGCGGAGAGAGACGGGGCGAGAGCAGGAGAGGATGGTGGGCAGAATGTTGGGCAGGATGTGGGAGGATGGTGGGCCGAGG